CAGACTGGACTCTGGCTGTAGTGAGGCACTGAGCTGTGGTGCCAGGACCCCTGATGGGCTGCAGCTAGGAACATGGATCAGGCCCCGAAGTGGGGGCTGAGGATAGCCCGGGCCAAGGACCCTGCTGACCTAACCCTGAGAACATCTGTCGGTCGGATCTTTACAGTGATGTTCTTCTCTTGCCCGGGTTGGAGCTAGGGGGCCAACAGAGGGCCGCCGCCTGAGCTGAGGCCCTCCAGTCTCCCTCCAGGAATCTGGGCTAGAGTGCAAGGGAGGCTCTGGGGGTAGGTGAGGAGCCTGCTTGTAGGTTGCAGTGGTGCAGGCGCGTGCAGAAGCAAGCATGGAACGTGGGCCACGTGGCAAGCAGTTTGCTGTGGAAGTGCAGGTTTCAGATGGACAGCAGGACACAGGTCTGGGAAAAGAGGCAGGCACAGGATCGAGTCACCCAGGGCCTGCGGTGCCTGGCCAGAGTTTGGACTGTATCCTGTGGACGGGGTCAGCCGGTGAAGGTTTGCCACAGCAGGGCAGAGTGTCATCGGAAAGCCCCCTCTGGCTGCGATGTGGAGGACAGAGCAGAGTGGTGAGCCTGAGGTAGGAGGATCGCCGACCTCTTTAATTCTCAGGACTGCCCTAGGAGCTAGGTGGGCGTCAGTATCCACACGGGTAAGATGAGGAAACCGAGGGCTCAGAGAAGCAGGGTGGGGGGCCTGAAGCCCTTTGCTAGACTCTGGCAGCGCTGGATCACACCTGGCTCGGCCTGTTTGCACAGCACGTGCTCTCATCTGCCCCGCTAACAGGGAGGCAGGCCAGGCAGTCAGCCGAGACTGTGCGTGTGCACACCATCTGAGTGCTCCCGCCCGCCCAGCTGGCCTGCTGCCGGCATCCCTGCCCTGAGACTGGGTGAGGGGTGCGGCTGTCCCCCCAGCCTCACCCACACCCTCACCGGGCCTGACTGGTTCTAGCTGGAGTCACTGGCGAGGGCTGCTCGGGCACCAGCTCGTAAACACGGATCCAAGGCTGAGGGCGCCATGCCAGGACCGCCCGCTCGTCAGGCAATGTCCCAGCCCAGTGGCCACAGATTGGAGATTAGACGGACCCTCAACCGCCTGGCGGGTGGGAACTGTAGGCAGCTGGTGCAGCAGCCGTGGGCTGGCAGGCTCCAGGGGATGGGGTGGGGGTGGGGAGGTAACCCTGGTACCTGGGCCTTTGGGGTCTTGCCAGTTTCTTCGGCTGCCCTAGCTTCCTGAAGAGAGTCTGGGCCTATCCCACCACCTCCCCCGACCCTGGGCTCAGCCTCTCCAGGGACTGGTAAGGCTCGGGGAAGGCTGGTGGCTTCCCCACGGATTGGAGCTGCAGGCCCCACCAGGGCAAGCCTGGAGATTTGGGCACAGCCAGCTGGGCTGGCCGTGGGGAGAAAAGTGGCTGGGGACAGTCCTAGAGGAACTAAATCACCACCAAGCACGGTAGGATTGGCGGACTGGTTTCTGCCACTCAAGCCCTCTGATTCCTGGGCACCTGCTGTGCTGGCATCCACTGTCTCCGTCCAGGTTTCTGGCTCCCTGACCTGTCCTAGAATTCTGTTTCCTGTGATCCCAGTGGTCACCACAGGCCTCCTCCTGAGCCCGGCTTGCCCAGTGCTGCTGGCCAGGCTCTGCCTGTGCTTGTGGACTCCTGAGTCTCATCTCCCCTCCTTGGGGCAGCAGAGCCTGGGGCCCAAATCAACTAGTGGTGGGTGGAAAGGTCTCCGAACCTTGGAGGGCAGACCTCGGTGCCGAAAGCTTTCCAGGCCTCCCAGCTCTGACCCTCAACCCTGAAGAATAATCTCTGGCCTATGGAGCTCCTGTGACCAGGCTACCAGAAAGGACCCAGGAGGATCTGAGTGAAGGGAGCTCCCTGGGGGGCACCGCAAGACCATCCCCTGTCTCTTGACAGGTGCTTGGTTGGTTTCATGAATGAGGGCTGGCAGGGAACTAGGGCCTGAGCTGACCTGTCCTTTCCTCATGCCCAGCAGATCCAATTTGTCCGGGCAGGATGTGCTCATTCCCACCACAGCCCATGGGCCCAGCCATTGCACTGCAGGGCTGACGTCTGTGCAAGCAATAACCATCCCTCAGCAGGAGCGGGGCTGACAATTTGCTTGCCCCTTCATGATGCCTGGGAGCTACCTGAGGGATGGAAGGAGTTCTGTGAGGTGGGGTGCCAAGAGGGGCCAGGGCACCCAGGCTGGGCTGTCTCCGTGAACTCTCAGGAGTCACCTTCCTTCCCCAAGCCCATCAACTTGTGGTTTGCTGAGGCTGAGGAGGGGAGGTTTGGGAGAAAGGCAGGCAGAACAGCTGGGGGCAGACCGAGCCCCCTCTGAGCCTGGCCTCCTGTGGGATGACGGTGTAGGGGCGTGAGCCACCCCTGACCTGGGATGACGGTGTAGGGGCGTGTAGGGGGCAGTGCACCATGAAGCAGATGGCCAGAAATTGCTCTGTCACTCCTGGGTGCCGAGGGACAGCAGGCCAACTGATTAATGGTTGGAATTTGTGGATGTTTCCGAGGCTCTGACATGGGGGCTGCCTGGCCAGTGCATGGGTGTGATGTTTGGACTCACCATGCGAGGGACTGGGGAGGGAAATAGGGAACTGTGTGGAGGAGGCCAGGCAAGTTCCCCAGTTCCTTGCCTGGGTTGAGTAAGCCCCCTGCTCTGCACAGGCCTACCTGGAGTCCTTCTACAAGTTCTGCACTCTACTGGGCGGGACCACGGCCGATGCCATGTGCCCCATCCTGGAGGTAAGTGCCCGCCCACCCTCCCGCCTGCCGGTCCCTGGTAGCCCGCGCTTGGGGGAGGCCCTGACAGCTGACTGGCAACTAACTGCCCCCTTCCACCTCCCTCTCGCCGTGCCTGTGCCTCGGCCCCACAGTTTGAAGCCGACCGACGAGCCTTCATCATCACCATCAACTCGTTCGACACAGAGCTGTCCAAGGAGGACCGTGCCAAGCTCTTTCCGCACTGTGGGAGGCTCTACCCGGAGGGCCTGGCCCAGCTGGCTCGGGCTGATGACTATGAGCAGGTGAAGAGTGTGGCCGACTACTACCCGGTGAGTGCCCTGGCTACAGCATGATGGGCAGGCATACAGGCATCTGCATCCCCACCCCACACCCAACAGTGCCCTCACACTCATGCTGTCCATCCCTCCCCTGGGCCAGGAGTACAAGCTGCTCTTCGAGGGCGCAGGCAGCAACCCTGGAGACAAGACCCTGGAGGACCGATTCTTCGAGCATGAGGTGAGGGGTTGCTCCCCTGCCCATCGTAGGGAGGGTTGGTGGCTCGGGCTTGACTCTGCGGTCACGGCCACCTGCACACCACGCCTGCCTCTGTCTGTAGGTGAAACTGAACAAGCTGGCCTTCCTGAACCAGTTCCACTTTGGTATCTTCTACGCCTTTGTGAAGCTCAAGGAGCAAGAGTGTCGCAACATTGTGTGGATTGCTGAGTGCATTGCCCAGCGTCACCGCGCCAAGATCGACAACTACATCCCCATCTTCTAGTGCCCTGGCCCAAGGATGCCCCCAAGTGTGTGTCTACGTGTGCTGTGACAGCCCATGGTTCACATGCTTGCCCTGGGGGGTAGCACATTGTCTTAGTGACTTTCGGTTTCCCTGACCCTCTCTGAGATGGCTCTTGGGCCTGAAAAGGGGCTGGGCACCTGCTCTCCCTACCAAGGATGGACCAATTCCCCCTCTCCCCCACCCCCGCCCCAAGGAGGCCCCCTCAGCCCTATGTTTACAGCCACTGACATGTCTGAGAAGCATGTGGTCACTTCCCTGAGAGCCCCTGGGGCAGCGTGAGCCTCCTCTTTCCTCTGTGGTTGGCCCAGGGGAAGGATAGAGTACGTGTCCTTGAGGCATAGCTCTGCAACCCTGTCCCTCAGCTCTGCCCCCTGAGACAATAAACTGCCCTCTCTAAGCCTGTCTGCTGTCTCCTTTGGACCCCAGTACCTCTTCCAGACCCCCAACTTCCCTTGGGTGCCACCCTTGTCAAGCCCGCCCCCACCCCAAGCTTTCGACCTCCTTCGCTGGCCCTCTCCCTGTACATCCAGGTGCTGCAGTGCGGGGGAAGTCACTGGAGGCCCAGATAGGCCTGTGGAGTTGGGTCCTGGCCCTGGAGGGTCCCAGGCCCCCGTTTGCCTCATTGAGTCCCACTATGCCCTAGGCCAAGGGCACTACGCCCTAGGCCAGGGGCACTACGCCCTAGGCCAGGGGCACTACCCCCATTTCACTATGAGGAAGCCCAAATCTGTGGATAAATGATCTACCCTCAGTCAGTGAAGGGGGATAGGTGTGAACCACAGAGCCTGTGCCCAGAGCCTCGGCCCATGCTAACACCAGGGGTTCCCTAGGCAGTTCGCAATCCGTCACCCAGCCACAGGCAGTCACCCCTCTCCCAACACAGCATCTTTCCATTCTAGGAGAAATAAAAATTTGTATTTAAAAGGTGGCAGTTGGGCAAGTGGGGTATGCAGCCTCCCTGGGGCTAGGGAGGCTTGGGGTGGGTGGTCAGGGCCCTAATTCTTGAGCCAGTCAAGAAACAGGATTCACCCTTTGAATTGCAGCACTGAGGCACTGGTGCCTTGAAAAAATCCTGAGGGCGGGTGGTCCCCACCCCACCCAGTCACTCCTTAGTTTGCAGAGGCACTGTCTGCGGGATCCTGTCAAAGTCTACAGCCAAGTCTTGCACAAAACTCCCCATCCAGCTGGGTTCTCCCAGCTACATGGTGGAACCTTGCACCCAGGAGGGTCTGTGTGGGCTCACGAAGCAGGAGAGAGCCCGGGAGGTTGATTGGGAAGCCTCTGCTTCACCAGGCCTGCCCTGGCCTGGGGCACTGACTGAGTGGGTAGGGCTGGGGTCCTTTAGGGCAGGCTCTAGGGCAGACTTGGGGGTCACCATACCCAGGGGAGGGCCAAGGGCTCCTGGGACCTCCTCTGCCAGAGCAGCTAGGCCTTCTGTGGGCACTGCTCATTGCGCTGCCACAGGGGAAGGGCCTGGGTTTGGGTCCGGGTCCGGGGCTGCATCCTGGGCTGGGGCAGAGCCAGGCCGGCCAGGCCGCAGCGCTCTCGGCAGACAGTGGCTGATAAAGAAGGTCTGCAGGAAGCGGCGCCGCAGGCCCTCGGGCAGGTAGTAGTGGATGAAGTACATGAGCCCCAGGCCCCGGCCCGGGTAATAGCGGCGGCGTGGCCGGGCGGCCAGCAGAGCGTCGGTGATGGCGTCTACGACCGGGCTGAGGTCTGGCAGCGCCAGGCGCAGTGAGTGCAGGAACTGCCCGTGTAAGTGCTCGATGTAGTCCTCGCCATAGGCCTGTAGCAGCTCTCGGGGCAGGCTGGCCAGCAGCAGCTGTTTGCGCTGCTCCCACTGGCCCACATTCCGCACCGACTCTGGGGCGGGGATGGGGGAGAAGGAGCGGCAAGGTCAGCGTGAGGTCAGTTAGGGAAGCCAAAGCCAGACTCAGGCCCGTCTATCCCCCAAACCGATCCCTGCCCCCAGCCAGAGCCATGCCCATTTCTCAGACCTGATCCCACCCCAGAGAAGACCACACCCACATACCCCCCATCCCAAACCTGACCCCCACCTGTCTTAAAGCAGCCAGGCTGGATGACGCTGACCTTGACCCCCCAGGGCAGAAGTTCACAGCTGAATGTGTCCATGAGCAGCGCCATGGCCGCTTTGGAGGTCCCATAGGCTGCCAAACACGGGTATGGCATGTCTCCTGGGGAGGAATTGGGAGTGAAGCAGCTCAGCCTGGGCCAGAGGCTCTGGAACCCCTCCCCGCTCCAGTGGGGAAGGGCCCTCACCTGCTGGGCTGCCCACAGTCACGATACGACCCCTAGAACGGCGCAGCAGTGGTAAGAGACCCTTGGTCAGCTCAAGGGCACCAAAGAAATTCACCTCCATGCAGCTGCGGAATGTGGCCACTGGAGACAGCTCCACATCGGCCACCACATCGTTGTGGCCTGCATTGTTGACCAGGCCCCACAAGCCTGAGGGCACGGAGAAGGGGGAGAAAGAAGGGACGAAGCTCTGGGTCAGGCCAGCAGCAAACCTCTAATCCCTGCCCGTTCACTCCCACCCAAGCACACCCTCTCCTGGGGGAGCTACGGCCACTGACCCGTGCTGGTGGTGTGGGCCTTTGTGAACTCCAGTGCTCGGCTGATGTCTGCTGGCTTGGTCAGGTCCATCTGCAGCAGCCTTAGGCGAGGGGAACAGCAGGCACGCAGCTCTAGGGCGCCGGGGCCATCCAACTCCAACACGGTGGCCAGCACCGTGAAGCCCATGGCGTCTAGCTTCTTGGCCGTCTCCTTGCCAAAACCAGAGTCACAGCCTGGCCAGGGCAGGGCAGCCAGTGAACTCCCACTGTGGCCCAGTCCGGCCTGAGACAACTCTAGGATCACCAGGGTCCGGACAGGATCCAGGCCCCGGGATATCCAATCTTCCAGCAATCAGCAGCCCTCCCTCCTTTCCCAGGTTGGCCTCTGCAGGCTTCTCCCCTCTGGCTGAGCACCTGGGCACCAGCTCTCTCACAGCTGCCAACTCCTTCACTCCCCATAGCTACCCCAAACATGGCTTACGATTCCCACTTTACAGATGAGGACATTGAGACCTAGGAATGTGAAGTTGCTTCCCAAAGTCACTTAGCCAACAAAGAGGAAGGCCAGGACTCTCCTGGAGGTCAGCGTGAGACCCTGTCTCAGCCCCAGTGTCCTGCCTCTTTTGCTCTCAGGCCTCAGCTGGCGTGTGCAGAAGCACAGCCTCCCTCCCTCTCTAGCTGCCCTTGCCCAGGCTTCTTCCTTGTACCTGGCCTAGGAAGCAGCCCCTTCTCTGGTCCTGTCCCATCTTGCCCCCTTGAATCCATTCTCTACCTAAGCAATCAGAAGGATCTTTCCAAAAATGACAGTATCACTCTGCGGCTGAAAACCTTTCCAAGCCCGCCCCCCTACCCCCCCCCCCCCCAGCCCTCGGGATGAAGCCCAAGCTCTCAGCTCCGGTCATCACAACCTGAGCCCCACCTCCCTTCCCTGCCAACACCCCTACTATTGTTCCAGGCTCTAGGCAAGCTGGAGGCCCATCCCCACCTCACCCTTGACCCCCAGCTCTTGGAATTCCAAGCAGTGGCAACAGTGGGGCATTCTCTGAGCCTCAGAACCACTTGCCCCTAGGACAAGCAAAATGCTGGATGGGGAAGAGAACAGACCTGGATTTGAATCCCTTCCCACACCCAACAAGTGTGACCTGAGGTCAGTTACCACTTTGGTGACTTAATTTCCTGTCTTCAGTATGTAGAGAGAGGAACCACCAGGCAGAGCTAGAGTGGGGGTCTGATAAGCAACGCTCCCTTCTTCATTGTTCCCATTCTGATCCCGGCTCCGTGGGCAGTCAGCAAGTGGAGGGAGAGGCCTGTGAGGACCGAGGCTTTCTGAGGCCTGCCTCCTTCGTGGTCCTGCTGAGCAGAAGCTTCACAGTAGCTCTGCTTCCCCAATTCTGGACACTCTGGGACTGTAAGCCCTCCCCACCTCAGCCCCACCCCCTCTGCTCAGGCGGAGAACAAAGCTGGGCAGGGGGCTGTGAGCTGGGCTTTGTGTGGGTGGCTGGGAGATTGCAGACAGCCCTGGGCTGATGGGTCCTTCCAGGGCACGTGGCAGCTGGGGGAGGCGAGTGAGCACATGTGTGTCCACTCACCTAAGCTCCCTCCCAGAGCAGACAGGCCCCTTCACAGTGAAATGGAGGCCTTCCAGAGCCTCAGCTCTGCGGTCCCCACAGTCACCCATGCCTTGCATACCCTCTTGTTCACCTGTACACACAGAGACACCTGTACGTATATACCTCCAACCTGCCTGCATATTCACACGGGGTTTCACTCCCATGAGATCCCCCTGCCACCATTGGTGCACAAATGTGCACACAAGGCACTCGGCCAGTCAGCCCAAATTCTGACTCCAGGACTGAGCTCTTGGAGTGGCCTGGGGCAGTGGATTTCAGGGACATTCTCCAGCAGTTCTGGCAGGCTCGAGACACTGTTCCTGGCAGGTGAGGCAGGGTCTGATCACCTCTTTGTCTTGCAGTCAGGTGGCGAGAGAGGAAACCGCAGAGAAGCTGGAGCGGCCCGGGCCATACCCTTCCCCTCTCCCATTGCAGGGCTTTACAGCCAGAGATGGGGGAGCCCAAGCCTCAGATGGCGTCCCACCTCTCCCCTCGATCTCAGGCTCAAGGCAAGGAGAAGTAACAGCAGCAGCATGAAGGCCTGAAGGGAGGTCTCAGGAAAGACTGCCCACTGGGTCCCTAGTACCAGCAGACAGCCCAGCTCCTATTGAGGCAGCTCACAAATTAGAAGGCAGAGCTCACAACCTGCCAGGAGGGTCTCTATCTTTCCTTCCTCAATCCCCTGAAGTTTCATACTGTACCCTGAGCTCAGGTCCCACTCATCCAGCCTGAACCCTGCTTTAACTCCACCCTCCTGCTGAAGCCCAAAAGCCCTCATGCCATCCTTATTCCCACCCCACCTCAGCAGTCTGGCTTCTTGCTTGGCATTCAAGGCCTCTTCTGAGGAAACAACCTCATATCCCACCACATCACGGCAGCCAGGCTGGTTACTGATTACTGGTTACTGGTTACTGTTCCCTACCCAGGCCATGCTCATTCCTGTCTCAAACCTTTGTCCCATATCCACACTTTGATCCAAAACACCTTCCACACTCCACCTATCTTCACTCATCCTCCCAGGCCCAGCTCAAGGATGGCCTCTGGGAAGTTCTCCCAGGTCCATCTGATCATGCAGGGCCCCCTACTGGACCGAGCCTCTGAGGGGCCAGTCTAGAGGCAGCCCCCAGCCCAGGGCCCAATGTAAGGGTAGAGCTCTGAGAACCTGTCCAAAGCCATGGGGGTTGGGGGAGAACTAGGCTACCCTTCCCCCATACAAGGGAGCCAGTAACCCCTGGCCTTTCTCCCCCTCCCCACTTCCGGCTGGGCCTCAGTCCCCCCCCACCCCCACCTCCGGTCCTTCTGGTGACAGATTTATTCCCTGCTCCAGACAAAGGGAACTCCGCCAGGCAGCCAGAGGCACCTGAGTACAGCTCTCCAAGACCTCCTTCCTGGGCACTGAAGACCAGGAGGAATGTGGGGTGGGGTGCTGGTTGCAGACTCTGGACAGCTACCTCAGCAGTTTGAGGGTGGGTGGTGGGTTCTGAGAGGCAGCTGAACGCCCAGATGCTCCTCATGGTGACCTCAACCTTTTCCGGAGTCCAACGATCCCAGCCAACTCGGAGGTCGGTGCCCCAACTCCCCATCTAAGCGCCTTCCTCTGACCCCAGGGAAGAGGAGATGGGGCGTGCCACGTGGGGATGTTAGGCAGAGTTCAAGGGGTGACCATCCTCTAAGTCCCTCAGAGCACGTCCCCGGCCAAAGACTGCTCTATTGGGGAGGGGCGTAGCATAAACCCCAAACTCCAGGAGGTTCCGTCTTTCTCATGCAGCAGTTGTCCCTGCGCACCTGCCCACTCCCGGCCTCATTTTCCCCTCCAACACTCTCCACAGCGGCAGGTAGTTAACCCGGACTTGGGGAGGTGCCTTGCGCTTCCTACTTGGCTCACTCCCGGCACCCAAGGGAAGGCGACACTCCCACTCCTGCGCTGGGGTCCCGCCTTGCCTTGGCGTGCTCACGGGGAGCCCTCTGGGTGGTCCCGCCCTCGAGCCTGGAGTCCCCGCGCCCCGCGCACTCACCGGTGATGAGCACCGCGCGAGTGGCCACGGGCAGGCGCGGCGGGCGCGCCAGGCGGGACAACGCGATCCAGCCGGCGGCGGCCAGCACGGCGAGTGCGGCCGGCGGGGGCAGCAGGCGCTGGCACAGCCAGTCGAGCGCAGCCAGCAGCGCCAGCGCAGCCAGCAGCGGGCGGCCCAGACGCAGGTCTGCGCGCAGCAGCTGCAGCAGCGCGCGGGCCGCCACGAGCAGCCAGGCGCCGCCCGACGGCCAAGGCCAGCGCTCCATGGCGGCCGGGCCGGGGCGGGGCAGGGGACGGGGACGGGCTGGGGAGCAGGGAGAGGGACTTCGGGTCCGGGGCCAGGGGCGCGGGGTGCAGCAGAACACCGGCCAAGAGCAGGAGGGACACTCGCTTCCTCTGTTCGCCCTCGGGCCGAGCTTATAAAGAGCCCCGGGGGCGGGGGAGAGGGCGGAGCGGAGGCGGGGAAGGGGGCGGGGCTTTCCGCCACTTCTCACCCGCACCCTCCTCCGAGCAGGTGCCCCCCCCCTCCGCCCCGCCCCCGCGGCCAGATCTGCTTTCTAAGAAGCCGGAACAAAGTCCCAAAGTTGCTGCTAGAGGAGGAGCAGCCTCGCCGCGGACCGTGCCGGGAACAGGGCCGGTCGGTGTAGCCCTCGTGCCTTGCATCTGCTCACCCCTTCGCCTTCCCCCACCACCACGCGCCCAGGGCCGCTGAGCCGCCGCTCCCAGGTGAGCACACCCCGCTCACACTTGCTCGGAACACCTGAGGACACGCACAACCTCCATCAGCTTGCCACACTGACAGCACCGGCGCGGCCTCCGGGCCTGCGGGAACACCGCGGGGAAGCAGCCCGCCCTCACCCGGCCGGCCGCCGCAGCCGCAGCGGGCACACGCGCCGCACTCCCACGCTGTGCGCGGCCGCAGGTCCCTCGCGCACACACACGCCCTGGCGCGCGCTCACACCTAGGCAGCCCGCGGCCACAAAACCGGCTTGTGGCGGGGGTTGGGGGAAGCAAGATGACTGCCCAGGCTCTTGGGAGTCTCTCGCCCCGCCTTCCACCTTCTCTCCAGGGCCTCGTCCCGGGGATGCACCAACCCCACCTCCTTCTGCCACACAAGTGTACGTGTGTGGGAGTGCAGGTGTGTGTGTGTGTGTGTGTGTGTGGCGGGGGCTGGGGCTCACAGAAAGTGTCTAGGCTTTCCATTACCTCCAGCCCACACTCCAAGAGTCAGGCCAGTGGGGGCACCTGGAGGGTCGGTGAGGGCAGCCTCTAGGACAAGGTGATCCCTGTCCGACTCCCATGATTCCGCAGGGTATAAAGTAAGTGCTGTGCGTGTGGGTGCATTTCCCTGCCTGTACATATGAGGATCTGTGTTTGTGTGTGGCCCAGCGGCCCCCCATCCTGCCAACCCCCATGTCTGGCACCCTGTGTTTGGCATCCATGCTAGGGCTCTGCCAGGCACTAGGAGTTGGTGCCAGCACCTGGCTGCCAGGCCCTATTCTGAGGGCAGTAGGTGCAGTCCATGGCAGAAGGAGTACCTGCTTCCTGTGGGCCTCTGGACCTTGCCCACAGCCTCATCTATGCCTGAAGTAGGTCCTGGGAGGTCATGGACCCCTCCCAGCCCTGTGCTCAATCTCTGTCTTAGGTGCTCAGGCCCTGTGCCAGGGCTTGGAGGCAAAGCCTCCTCCAAAGCCTTCTCTGCCACCAAGGCATGGCTCCCTGGTGGGCCAGGGGAGTCTCAGGGAGGGGGCCGGGAGCCATTTAGGAAGGGGGGCTCTGGGTGGAGGGCCCATCTCCTGTCCAGAGCCACTGCTGTGCCTTCATGTACTCCTCCACTTGTAAGCACAGATGGCAGGCTAGCCCTGGCCCTGGGAGTCAGGACTTGCCTGGGGAGGACATGTGTGCCTACATTGAGTACATGACCTTGTGTACCTGTTGGTGCCAGGATTTGCAAAACACTTGTGTCCATGTCCTGTGCCATGACCCTGCATGTGAATGTGAGTACACGTTGTGTGTGTGTGTTGTGTGTGCTTCTGGTGACTCTCCCTCCATCCGGGTCATCCTTTGGAAACTCAGGGAAACCCTCCTTTTCTAAAACCTACTGACTTCTGTTGCCCTGAATCTATGGCCCGGGTTCACAGGTAGACACAGCAGCCTTGGCCTGGCTTCCTGACCTGAGCTGTAGACCCTGGACTGCGGGCGCTCCTACCCCCGCTCTGTCACCCTACTGAAAGTCTGACTATGGTTTCTCTTGCCTCAGCCTATTAAGGGCTTCCCTTTGGAGCTGGAGAGGGGGTTTAGAGGAGGAAGTGGTGTGGGGGTCCCAGGCAGTTTTCAAGGTCAAGGCCACACAGGTAGTACTAGCACTTGCCTGAACTGGAATCGAAACTAGGGGAAGTGGCAGTGGGACAAGGTGAGCACAGAGACTGAGAAGCAGAATCCTACACCATCCTGAGAAGGAACCATGAAGGACCCTGACTTACTGGGAAGCCTATGGTGGGGAGAAGGACCTGCTGAGAGGGGCCATAGGGAATTGCCTTTGGCTGCAGAGTATGGGATGGCTGGGATGGGGGGCGGGTGTTTCCAGCTCATCTTCTGGGACGTTCTGCCACCTTGGACAGAACCACTAGTCTTGTGCGATTTGGGTCCTTGTTGGACTGGATGATCTGGCACATTTTTATATGTGCCCACCCAGCCCACCCAATTCATCCTACTTGAAGGCCAGGAGGCTAGGCCTCCTTCCTGGGATCTATGCTGCAGCTCCCTGCGGCCTCCTCAGCGGCTGAACCCTTAGCCCTCATCAGGTGGAGATGTTCTGGAAGTAGAAAGAAAGTGGTTCAGGCAGTCATGGCTGGGAGGGGCTGGCCCAACCCTGTCTGAGGCCTGGTGCCAGTTTGTGCCTGCCCAGGGGCAGAAAACCAGCCTCTGCCAGAACCAGGAGTCTGGGCTGGCAGGGGCCTCCAGGGAAGAGAAGGGAAGGGGGGCAGAGGGCAGGAGCCCCGGCAGATAAGGCAGGGCCTGGCAGGGGCAAAGGAATGAAGGGCAACCAGAGGGATCAGAGCCCCCTAGCCACCCCACCCCTAAGCCCTCAGCGCATTGTCTCCCTCATTCCTTAGTCTGACACCCCCCCTCTTCCCCTCCCCCCACCACCCGTGGTCTCTCCTCCCCCTTGGTCAGAAATCTAGTGAGCCAAACCCTTAGCTTGCCCCAGGCTCCAGAGGGTCACGGGTTGGTGGGGGGCTGGCTGGCTGGCTGGCTCCAGTCCGCTCCAGCTGAGTCTGGTAGCTCACTGGCACCATCTGCTGGCCTTTTTGGAAGGGCGCGGCTCTGAAGGGGAATAGAGTGAAGGTGAAGGCTGGATTTGAGGATGAGGGGAACAGAAGCAGGTGTGGGGTGCCGTCGCAGTCTCCAAGAGTTCACCCCCTGTCCCCTGCCCACACTGGGGTTCCTGGAGCCAAGACTCCCTTGTCATGTCTTCCTCCCTCTGTGGTGCAGCTCAGAGGCAGCAAAGTCCCAAGGAGGCCCTGCCTTGCCCTCTGCTCTCTCCTGGCACCCCACCACCCCTACCTCCCAGCACAAGGCAGAGGGGCCCACCTTCCTGCCCGTGGCCAGTACCCCCACTGGGGTTGCAGACCCCATCCCTCCCCATCCTCAAAGATAGCCAACTTTTATCGAGTCTCTCCTGCATGCCAGGCCCGGGGCTGGATGCCCTGGGTTCATAACAACAACTGGCCTCTCCCACTGGTAGCCACAATGGAGAACTTCTTTCGCCTCAATCCCATACCACTCCCCTCCAGCACTGTTCTCGTGCTCCCCCCTACTCAGCCACATTTCTTTAAAATTGTCTACAATCACCATCTCCGCTCTCCCCCCTCCCCCACTCTAGCTCTGCATGGCTCCCCCTCCTGACCTCACCAAAGGCCACCAGAAAATGACATCCCAAATACCCAAATACCATAGACAAATCACTGCACAGGCGTACTTAAGGCCTAGCTTCAGACTCAGGTGTACTTGAGCCCAAAGTCTGGGAGCTTGAGAACTGTGTTAATGCAGGACCATGTTTGCCACATGCAGCCTCTTAAACTTCATGCTGAGGGCAAAGGAGAGCTGGGAATGGTCTTGAGCAAATGAGATACCTGTCCCAATTGCCAGCAAACGGATTTAGGGATGGGGCAAGAGTGGAGGCTGGGAGTTCTCTTGCTGCATCCAAACAAGGGACAGAGCAGAGGTCTGTTTTGGGCTAACTGAGCCCAAGATGCTTGTGGACATGCAAGGGCCGAGCCCAGAGGCACCTGGATGCCCATGGCCTCCAGCACATCCCACAGCTCCCTGGCACGGGAACCCAGGAGATTGACGACTCACCTTTGTGTGCCCTGGGCATGAAGTGAAATCCCTCTCTTTTCAGAGGTACCCCATCTAGGCTGTGCATCTGGAAATCGGGCCCTTTTGTTGGGGGGGGGATGGTGAGGCAGGGGAAGCGGACTTGCACTTTCAAACTGTCTTGCACCCTCCTCAGAACTTTTCTTTTGCCTCTAGGATTGAAGGCAGATATTTGTGGATTAGGGTCCTCAAGTTTGGGAAACACTGCAAGAATGTGCTCCGAAACGTTTTCTGGACCAACCCTAGGGGTCGGCGGGGGAGGCAAGCCCAGCTGAGAACACTTACCAGGAGAGCTTGGCTGAGTCCAGGTGAAACCGGCTGTCTCAGATCCAGCAGTGCGGTTTTGAGTCATTCATAACCCTCTGCCACATTTCCTGTGTGTTTGTTGTATGCCAGTCCTTGTGTGCGGTTTGCTTGTCCTTTATTTTATTTACTATCTTCATATCATCCCTGTGAAGTAGGTACTATACATGAGAAAACATGGGGCTCCTGGTGGCTCGGTCAGTTTAGTGATCCACTCCTGGTTTCTGCTCAGGTCATGATCTCAGGGTCCTGGGATCCAGCCCCAGGCTCTGTGCTCAGCGGAGACTCTGCTTGGCCCTCTCCCTCACCTTCCTGTCCCCATCCTGCTCTCTCTCTCTCTCTAAAATAATAAATAAATAAAATCTTGAAAGAAAGAAAAGAAAGAAAGAGAGAGAGAGAAAGAAAGAAAGAAAGAAAAAGAAAGAAAGAAAGAAAAAGAAAGAAAGAAAGAAAGAAAGAAAGAAAGAAAGAAAGAAAGAAAGAAAGAAAGAAAGAAAAAACAAATCCAGAGAGGCTACAAGGTGCTGAAGGTCACAGCCATCCAGACGCTAGGCTCCCAACCATCTGGTCACACTGCCCCTGG